GGGAGGGTGTTTCGGTTTGTTTTTTCGAAGATATAGAGAGAAAGGGTGCTTCAGTTCAACTTGTGAGGATGAGAGGACCGACTGAAAAATGACCAAAAGTCCCAACTATTTATACTTCCATAAAAATGCACATCTTTTGTTTCTAATAGGGATCGAATCTAATACCTCATTAAATTCCTTCATCCTACTTAATCATTTTTTGTGTTTTAGTTGTTTCCAGAAACATGATTTTTTTTGTTCCCATTTTTTAAACTTGTTTCCAAGAGAATTAGATGAAACAACAAACAAAAAAATTGCTAAACACGTTTTTTATTTGATTATTTTGGCAAAAATTGAAAAAACAAAACATAAACAACAAACAAAAACAGTAAACAAACAACCCTAGTTTTTGTAAACAAGTCGAGCAACATGTTTTTTTTTTCTATTGAAGATAGGAGATACAAATGAGTAAAGGAAAGAACACAACAAAACAAAAAAAAAACATTAAAGGAGTTCATCCTACCTTATCCAGAGCATCGTTATTGTCTAGATTTACTTTGCCTCTGACGTTATATGGGACATCTTTTCCCTCTAGCTTCCCATTGTATTTCATTTTGAGTCTCCATTTGGCAAGTTCATGAGCTGCACAATTTGTCAATCGATCTGTATGGTTCATTCCCCATCCTTGGTGTTCTATTAGCAGGTGCTTGAGATCTTAAATGATAGAAATAATAGCCCAGTGAGGCTTGACATTAGTAAGTAGTGCAACATGGATGACAACTTGGTAGTCCCCTTCAATGGTCACATAACTCTAGTTTTTTTGCATGAGCCCATAGTGCCACCAATCTTGCTGCAAGTGATTTAGCAATTAAGGGGTCTGTATTTGAGTCATTTCCAACAATAGCTCCTAGTACTGTTCCATATGGTTTCCTTGTAATTGTTGCTTGGCATGAGTCATTTGGACTAACTACTGCATCAACATTGATTTTGATCTCGTTATCTGTAAGGAGAATCCAATTGAGCTGATGTTGCTTTAGTATTTGACTGGACTGCTGAGGGGTCCTGGTTAGATAGACCTGTATCTAATTGATTGGAATTTATTCCTCCATTTCCAAATGATAATGACAAGGATTGCAACAAATAGGTCCATGGATTCTTTGCTGCTGGTAGAGATGTCAAAGAGGATTGTGGGATTAAGGATATTGTGCACCCATTCTTGTATAGTGAAGTGGTGGAAGGAATCTGTCCGTCCGTCCTCAACTGGAAAACCATATTGCTCTTGCCAAAGGAAAAAGGAAGAATTATGCTCAGCGGTTTCTGGGCTCGAATTACACATGGGGCATAGGATATCTGGGATTTGGAGTCTGGAAGCTAGGAAAGCTGTTGTTGGTATGCATTCAGTGGCTAACCTCCAAAGGGTCATCTTGAGCCTCTCATGCAATTTGGAAGTCCACAATTTGTTTCAATCTGCTAGTTCTAGGTATTGACTTGTCAAAAATAGATCTTCCCTTGATAGCTTGTATGCTGACTTGGTGTCGAAGTCTCCTTTCTTGGATAGGATCCATATCATTTGATTATCTCTTGAAAGTTTGGAAGTTTTATACTTAATATTGCTTCAACTATGGTAGGAGAAAATAATGTTGAAAAAAGACCAATGATCCATGTGTTGGATTCTTGGTCTATCAATTATGCCACTTGAATAGGTAAAGGATCTATATCTTGCTCTAGTTGAACTCTAAAAGAGTGCAGATTTGGAATCCAAAGGTCTGTCCAAATATTGATCTTGTGTCCAATGCCAACTAGGTAACATGCTCCTTTCGCTATAAAGGGTGAATATGCCTCCATATAGGTGAATCACCAGATTGGTTTTGGACATAGAAGAAACTAGATCTTGAACAATATTTTCTTGTAAGCTAAAAATTCCATAAGCTGAAGTTGCTTGAGATCATTTGCCATCCTAGCTTTGCCATAAGTGACCTGTCAATGTCTCGAGTCTTTCTAAAATCAAGTCCGCCCACCCTTTTTGCCTACAGATATAGTCCCATGATTTGACTGTCATTCCTCTATGTTGATTAGTATGTCCCCACCAATAATTCCTTATTTTACTATCAATTTTGTTGCAAACAGTTTGGGCAAGAGGAAAGCTTGCATGGCATAGACTGACATTGCAAGTGCTGTTGACTTGATTAGTGTGGCTCTCCCAACGAAAGACAATGTCTTAGCCTTCCTAGCCTTTGCAGTTTGGCTTTTATCTTTCTAGAATGGTTGAAAATTCTTGGTTCTAGATCTGCTTGTGAATAAAGGGAGACCCAAATAAGTACCATCTTTGGTGCCTTTTTCAATCCCAAAACTTCTTTGACAACTCTTATGTCTCGCCTTTATGCATTCTTGCTATAATGGATTTTGGATTTGCTTTTGTTGATTTGCTGCCCAGACTAACTTTTGTACTTTGTGATGCACTCCTGTATAGTTCTTCCTGTTGGTTTGCTCTTCCAAAAATCAAGAGGTTATCTGTAAACATGAGGTGTGTAATAGGTTCACATGATCTAGCAATTTTAATGCCTTTGAGATTCCTCTGTTGAGCTTCCCTGTGAAGTAATTTGGACAAAACTTCAGTAAAAATTATGAATAAGAAAGGGGAGAGAGGGTCTCCTTGCCTTAGACCCCTTTGGGGGTTGAATCTTCCCATGAGACCCCGTTGATTAGTACTGACAGAGAGGAAATGGAAATGCACCGATGGATCCAATTGGTGAATTATTCTGGGAAACCAAGAATTCTTAGGGCTTGAAGGAGGAAAGGCCATTCCACCTTATCAAAGGCCTTAGTCATATCTAATTTTAGCATCATTAAGGCCCCTTTACCTTGTTTTTTTTTTTTTTTTTTTCATTTTTTGCCCAATTTCTTGCACCAACACTACATTCTTTGCTATGTTTCTTCTTGGAATAAAAACAGTTTGGAAGGGTGAGATGAACTGTTCCATGTGAGGACGAATTCTATTGGCAATGATTTTATAGATTAGCTTGTATTCAACATTACAGAGGCTAATGGGTCTAAATTATTGGACTGAATTAGCTTTTGAGGTCTTGAGTATTAAGCATATATTTGTTCTATTAAGTTCCATTAGGAGATGAACTCCAGCAAAGAAGATTCTAACTACCTTAATTAGGTCATTGCCAGTGGTGTACAAGTTGGTTTTGTAGAAAATGGCAGACATTCCACCTAGTCTAGGCGATTTAAAGGACGAAATAGAAAAAAGGGTGGTTTTTATTTCTTCAGGGGAGGGGATGACACAGAGTTGTATTTGTTGCTTTTGGGAAATGAGTGGGTGAATCAAACTTTCAAGGTCATTGGGAAAAACTAGATTAGACGAAGAAAAGAGATCTTGAAAATAAGTTAGGAATTGATTACCAATTTTCTACCCGTCAGTTATCCATGTTTTGTCTTCTAGCTTTAAATAGTCAATTGCATTCCTCCTGCCTCTAATGATAATGGTGGTGTGGAAGAATTTTGTGTTTGTATCCCCCTCCATCCATTGGACCCTGTACCTTTGTCAGCTCTTCCCTTTTCATTTGTTCTGCCAATTAATATTTTAGGACATTTTCTTCTAGTAGATTATCAAAAGTAGGTTCTGCTTGTTGAAGTTGGTCGATTTTCTCCCTGATGGCCTTGGCTTTTCGGATGCAATTGCCAAATTGTTTCTTGTTCTACTCTCTGAGAGCATCTTTTGTGGCTTGAGGTTTCCTACAGAATTTGTAGGCCAAGGAAAGATCCTCTATACTGCGTGTTCCAGGAGTTTCGAATTATATGATGATTGGTTGGATCTATCCTTGCTAGAGCGATCGCACGAAATGACTTACGCGAGCAAGTATGATATAAATTGCACTCGCTCGTGTCCAAATGATCTCGAACTTGAAAGCTTTGGTGAAATTTGTTTGTTTCCCCTTTGTATTCAAGAGGAGGGGGGAATGATCTAAACAAATGGCTGGGAGATGTTTGATGGTAGCTCTGGGAAATAAAAGCCTCCATTCTAGGTTAACAATGCCTCTGTCCAATTTCTCCTTAATGTTGGCTAGGCCTTCTCTTTTATTGGACTAGGTAAAAAGGTTGTCTTTATAACAAAGATCAACTAATCCTTGCTGGTTTATGAATGCCTCAAAACCTCCATTTGATGGTGAAGTAAAAGCTCTGACCCTTCTTTTCTCTTCTTGTGAAGTAACATTGTTGAAATCCCTAATGACGATCACTAGTCCAGAAAATTCATCTGTGATCTGATTCATTGCATCCCATAGTTTGCTCTACATTAATCTACTTGTAGGAGCAAAAACACAGTTAAGTAACCATTTGGACTCTGCAAGTTCTGAAAAAATCATGGCAGAGATAATGGATGAGTTTGACAGGAGGATTTCAACATCAATTCCTTTTTTCCAACAAATATCTATGCCTCAAGATAGGCCCACTTCAGGTTGAATTTCATGGTGGTAGTAACCCAGGCGTTGCACGATATTTTTGATTTTTTCAGTAGAGATTTTAGTTTCTGAAAGGAAAATGACATCAGGGTGACGTTCTTTATTTGTGCCCTCAAGTGACGAATTGTCGAGGCATGGGCAAGCCCTTGACAATTCCAAACATAAACTACTATGACTCCTAAGCCACAATAATTAGTTCATCAGTCCATTCCAATTCAGTTTGTTGTAGTTTTCCATGACTCTCAATCTGCATTCTTGATGTGACTTTCTTGTAAAGGAATTTTGGAAGGGTTTTCTTGCAATACGGTTTGGATCAAGAGTGGTAGATGCTCTGTTTTGGTCTGGTGGTTCATCTGGTTCTGAAACAGTGTATGGGTAGGAATTAGTTTCTGGTTCTTTTTGTGTGGTTAGGTGCAAATGGTGGTTGAGTTGGAGCGCATGGCGATGTAACCGTCTTCTCTCCTGTAGAACTTGGAAGGTCTGTTTGGGTTATCTTCATGTATGCTGTGTTTAAGTGATAGTCGTTGGAAAATCATGGCCATATAATCATCTTGTATGTTGCAGAAGAGATTAGCTAGAAGTGGTTTTGGAGGTATTGGGTAATTGCGTGGGTAAGTGTGGAGGTGAGTTGCAGATTGGGTCGCAGCGATTTGGGTTGCTAAAATGGTAACTCCTTGGGTTGTTTGGTTTTGGGCATGTGCCTATTGACTGGAATTTTGAGCAAACGGGCTTGGAGATATATATGTATGTTTGGATTTGGAAGATGGGCTTGGGGTTTTGGTCTTTGGGCTTTGGATATTGGGTATGTGGTTTAAATCAGTGGTATGTACTAGGACACTGGGGTTAGGGTCGTTATCAGGGTGTGCTTGCCCTGGTAGTGTTAAGGAGAGGTTAGGGTTTTGACATGGAGAAAGTAGTGAGGGAGACTTGCTAGGATTTGTACCACTTGATGTCCAAGTGTCACAACATCATGCTCTGTAGCCTGTGCTATTGTGCGCATATTCCACGATTGTGGGAAATCAGTAGACATGCTTTCTTTTGACATGCTGTCGATTTGCGTTTCTCCACGCGCCGCCGCTGATTCCTCTGGTTGTGGGGAGACTAGTGGTTTGTGGTGGTCAGGGTTGATACCCATTTTAGCTTGTAGTTGTGAACCAAATTTAATCAATAGATCAGATGGAAGAGGATATTTTCACATTGAGAATTCATGGCCAATTCTACCACATTTATAACAAAAATCTTCCAATCTCTCGTACCTTAGTTCAATGAGTTTTCCTTTGCCTTCAGATTGGGGAAGCTAGAAACAACTTGGGAGTGGTTAATCCAGATTTATGGTCACTTTGGTGTGGAGGTAGCCTTTCCAGAGGGTTCCTTGCCTGAGGTCTTGTATCGCAAGGGCTGGTTCTCCCAAGCTTTGTGCAATTTTGAGGGCATTTGCAGTAGTGATTATGTTTGGGGCCAAACCATGTGCCTGAATCTAGAAGAGGGTTGTGCTAAAGTCTAAATCATCAATAGGAGATGTTTGATGGTAGCTCTGGGAAATAAAAGCCTCCATTCTGGGTTAACAATGTATCTATCCAATCTCTCCTTAATGTTGGCTAGGCCTTCTCTTTTATTGGACCAGGTAAAAAGGTTGCCTTTATAACAAAGATCAACTAATCTTTGCTAGTTTATGAATGCCCCAAAACCTCCATTTGATGATGAAGTAAAAGCTTTGACCCTTCTTTTCTCTTCTTGTGAAGTAACATTGTTGAAGTCCCCAATGAAGATCACTAGTCCAGAAAATTCGTCTGTGATCTGATTCACTGCATCCCATAGTTTGCTCTGCATTAGTCTACTTGTAGGAGCACAAACGCAATTAAGTAACCATTAGGACTCTGCAAGTTCTGAAAAAATCATGGCAGAGATAATGGATGAGTTTGACAGGATTATTTCAACATCAATTCCTTTTTTCCAACAAATATCTATGCCTCCAGATAGGCCTACTTCAGGTTGAATTTCATGGTGGTAGTAACCCAGGCGTTGCATGATATTTTTGGTTTTTTCAGTGGAGATTTTAGTTTCTGAAAGAAAAATGACATTAGGGTGACGTTCTTTTATTTGTGCCCCCAAGTGACGAATTGTCGAGGCATGGGCTACATAAACTACCATGACTCCTCAGCCACAGTAATTAGTTCATCAGTCCATTCCAATTCAGTTTGTTATAGTTTTCCATGAATCTCAATTTGCATTCTTGATGTGACTTTCTTGCAGATGGATTTTCAAAAAGGTTTCCTTGCAATACGGTTTGGATCAGGAGTGGTAGATGATCTATTTTGGTCTGGTGGTTCATCTGGTTTTGAAATAGTGTATGGGTAGGAATGAGTTTCTAGTTTTTTTTGTGTTGTTGGGGTGCAGATAGTGGTTGAGTTGGAGCGCATGAGGATGTAACAATCTTTTCTCCTATAGAACTTGGAAGGTTTGTTTGGGTTATCTTCATGTATGCTGCGTTTGAGTGATAGTCATTGGAAAACCATGACATACAGTCATCTTGTATGTTGCAGAAGAGATTAGCTAGAAGTGGTTTTGGAGGTGCTAGGTAATTGCGTGGGTAAGTGTGGAGGTGAGTTGTAGATTGGGTCTTAGTGATTTGGGTTGCTCAAATGGTAACTCCTTGGGTTGTTTGGTTTTGGGCATGTGCATGTTGACTGGAATTTTGAGCAAACGGGCTTGGGGTTATATATGTATGTTTGGATTTGGAAGATGGGCTTAGGGTTTTGGTCTTTGGGCTTTGGATATTGGGTAGGTGGTTTAAATCAGTGGTATGTACTGGAACACTAGGGTTAGGGTCATTATCAGGGTGTGCTTGCTCTGGTAGTGTTAAGGAGAGGTTAGAGTTTTGACATGGAGAAAGTAGTGAGGAAGACTCGCTAGGATTTGTACCACTTGATGTCCACGCGTCACATCATCATGCTCTGTAGCCTGTGGTAGTGCACGCATATTCCACGATTGTGGGAAATCAATAGATGTGCTCTCTTTTGACGTGCTGTCGATTTGCATTTCTCCACGCGCCGCCGCTGATTCCTCTGGTTGTGGGGAGATTGGTGGTTTGTGGTGGTCAGAGTTGATACCCATTTTTGCTCGTAGTTGTGGACCAAATTTAATCAATGGATCAGATAGAGGAGGATATTTTCACATTGAGAATTCATGGCCAATTCTACCACATTTATAACAAAAATCTTCCAATCTCTCGTACCTTTGTTCAATGAGTTTTCCTTTCCTTCAGATTGGGGAAGCCAGAAACAACTTGGGAGTGGTTGATCCAGATTTATGGTTACTCTGGTTTGGAGGTAGCCTTTCCAGAGGGTTCCTTGCCTGAGGTCTTGTATCGAAAGGGCTGGTTCTCCCAAGCTTTGTGCAATTTTGAGGGCATTTGCAGTAGTGATCATGTTTGGGGCCAAACCATGTGCCTAAATGCAGAAGGGGGTTGTGCTAAAGTCTAAATCATCAATAGAAGTTGCTGGTGTCCTTGCTTTAGTACCAACAGTTGTCCTTTCATGGACCAAAGGCTATGCTTGATTATTCCTTTCTTGAGCTCATCATCTGCGAAGATGAAGATGAGAGTGTCTTTGTCTCCATCTTTGATTTCAAAATTGTTGACTGCACTCCATGCTATGGAGACTATTGTTTTAACAACCTGGCGATTGATTCTTTTCTCCGAGTATATCTTCCCAATGAGGCATGAATGTGATACAAAGGTTGTTGTGGGTTCATCAGATTGGAGTTGAATGGTGAGGCAATGGGTGGGGGTTTTGACATGCTCTGTATTTTCTGAGTGTGAGGGAGCGTTATTTTCTAGGTGTGAGGGAAGGTTGTTTGCTGGGTTTTTGGGTTTGTGCATATCTGGAGGTTAGGTTATGCTTGGGTGATTGCTGGTGACTGTTTCAGGTTGAAATTCAATGGGAGCTGTGAGAAATATGAAAATGAACTCTGTGGGTATGGAGATATGGAAGGAATGAAGACCATCAGTGGGTATGGAGAGATGGAATTAAGGTGAAGGTAAAATCATAGAGATGATTTTTTAGTAGGCTTTGAATTTTGGGGATTGTGAGAAATAGGAAAATGAGCTTAGTGGGGTGGAAAGATGGGTGGGATGGCTGATTTTAGTAACGGAGAGGATAGCTGACTTTAGTGAGGCAAAAATCGTTACTCAGCACCGGAGTAGAAGGCACCACTCATGGGTTTGCCGGAGTGAGATGCGCCACTCAGGGGAACTTACCACCATGGGTAAGGGAACACATTTATCCGAGCAACATGTGATTTGGTTAGAATAGGATTGGTTCTGCTCGAATAAATTTATGTATGTTAATTATATTAAGATACACTATCAAGTCATACTCGTTAATTTTTGAAATTGTCAAGAAATTTGCTACATGCACGATTTCAAGTGATTTAGAAAATAAAAGAAAAAAAATAGGTGAGAAAGAAACCTAGTTTGAGAGATAAAAATCTCTGCTGGTTCACTTCAAGGGGAACATGACCTTCTAAACTTTTCATTGGAAAATTTATCACAAATATTGGTTGTATTTTTCATTCATCTAATGCCTTTAAATATAAAGAGCTAACGCCTAAAAGATAGCTACTAAATCCATTGACTTTAGAGGATTTTGTACCGGATGTCTGAAATTACGAGTCTAGCTACAATATTAAGGGGTGGATTAAGGTGTCATAACGGACTAAAACTTTTTAATCCAACATTCTATTGCATTTGATTACCAAAACTGCTTCCTATTATGTACAAGCCTATTTCATATATATATGAGACATATAATTATAATATTTTCCACCCGTAATTCTATTGAGTCAATTTTAATATCACTTGAAGAGAGAAAATATATAATTATTGGTTAGTAATACCTTATCATTAATATTGACATAATATCACGTTCCAATGACTCTTTTTTCCTCATAGAGATGATATATGTCACATAATACAATAATGGTGATAGTTATGTGTCATTTTTTTTTATCTATGCTGCTAAAAGATAACCTTCAAGTGGAAGACATTAGATAAACAAATAATTTGGATTCACCAAAGTTACCTATGAAAGCAAAACATTTTTTAGGCCAGACAGACATTGGTGGATTCATTAGAGATTACGGAGATTAATAATATTATTTAGACGTAATCTATAGATTATTCTCTTAAGTCTAGTGGTTGACCATCGCAGCTTGAACTAAGTTAGACTATGTTCTTTTAAGAGATAAGGGTGTCTAGACCTTGAGATTAAACTTGAGACATCTAAATTATCAAATGCCAGACTCAACCACTAAATTTCACCTAATAATTTCACTAGATAAAATTTCACCTAATAATTTCACTAGATATTTTCTTCTTTCTCCCGCTTCAACCCCAAGACTCAACCACTTGGCATTATCATATTATTATAGAACTATTTAATAACAGAAACCTACACAAGTGAAAAAAACAGTGAACAATCATAGATCAAGTTTACCTTCATGGCCCACCAGTGAATTATTCTCTAACACAGTATACGTGACTGTAATACGAAAATTAAAAATTAAAAAAAAACTTGTATCACAGCTAAGCACATAGATGCAGCAATTTAAACAAAAATGCAGACAATTCCTCTAATATTTTTGCTTAAAAATGGTCGGGTTTGACATGTTTCCTCTCGGCAACCAGCCGACTCTATTGAAAACGAAAAAGGTTAATTAGGCCTCTCGGTCTCTCTGACCTCTCACACTTACTCTGAGACGACTCAGACCAACTCTCGCATAAGACCATCGACAACTTCCACAGGTAACCTACTGTTCATGGTTTTTGGAGTTGTGGGTTTGCCATGAATTTGTTAGTTGTTTGAAGATGTTGAATTTGGGAGGTTTTTGCTTTGTGAATTTGGGAAGTCGAATTTTTTGGATATTGGTTGTAGGTTACTCTTCAGATTTGGCTGGTTAAGTAACTGGTAGTGAATGTGGGATGTTGTATGATTGAGATTTGGGGTTCTGAATTTGGTTGTAATTTATTGTTTACTTTATGCCTACAAATTTAGCTTTTAGCATCCTTTGTTATTGTTATAATAAAATGGGTCAAAGAGGTGTAATGGGTTGCGAGATAGAAGATTTTTCACGTAAGAACCTAAATGACTCTTTTGTTTAGTGGGTGATGTATATGGATTGTGTTGAGTGTTTTTTCCACACGAACTTACTTCACTTAACCGGTTGCCAGACATTCTCCTTACCCTCCGAAACACCCATGTCAAACTCTACTCTCTCCCCCTTCTCACCATGCTAGACCCCCAAGCAACAAACAAAGAGACATGGAAATAAAAACCGCTTTATGTGCCAACCTCCACCTCATCATTGATGTCAGGGGCCAAACATAGTATATGACTGCCGTAAATGAGAGCTTTATGATCAGGCCAGTAAAGACCCAATTCTCATTCCGCTCGACACAGAGAGGTGGGGGAGACCCCGCAGAGAGAGATTGATTGCTGCTAATCGATACTTTTTAACCTTAGAAAGTGTGATATTGATGCTAAATTTACTTTTTGACCCAGGGGAGAGAGTGTTTGAGTGATTGATGCCTAATTTTCTTTTAAATTTGCATGTGCCTGATAATTTTTTTTTTTTGTGTAAAAACTCCTTGCTGGACTTTTGGCCCTGATCAATTTAGAATATTTTGTTGGTTTAACCATTCATTTGAAATTTAGCTTTGTTTTAAATGGGTTTGAAATTTTGTCCTGGATCATGACATGGACCTATAAAATAGGTGACCTTCTTTGTAGATGAGTTCTAAAACAGTTGCTTCATTAATTGTCATTACTATGGGGCCAGCCTGCAAGCATATTACTTTTAGCTGTCATTCAATTGTATCAATTGTTCATGAACCTGTTACATATGGGTGATGCTCCACCAAATAATGTTGTTCATTAAAGTTGAGTGCTTTATTCGATGATCTTGAATGTTTTATGCTGAATGTACATAAACAAATGCATCATAAGGCCTCATCAGTGTCCTGAGAAAAAGACAAACTTTGTGGGGCAATAAAGTTATTCTATTGTAATTTGATTGCCATTGGTTCTAATCACAGGGACATTCTCTTCGTATGCAAAGATATGCAAATATAATCGTGTGTAACCTGAAGGAATGGGTTCTAATTAACAGTATTGACATGTAAAAGTTGGTGACTATGATGAAGCTCTCCGCAATGTGTTCCATAAAGAGAACTGATCCAGCAAACAGCAGCAGCAACAACGCAACTTTTGATATCAATGATGAATCTGAGAGGCTACACATACTAATCGTAGATGAATCGTGCCATGACAATACGGTAATCAAAGAATGGTCAGAAGTGTATGCAGGAGACAGAACAGGTAACAATTTATCTAGGAAACGCCGAATAGAGAAAGTTCCTTCACTGATGCGAAGGGCACACGAAGGAGACAATCAAGAGTACAATCCCAGGGTGGTTTCTTTGGGTCCTTATCACCATGGTAAACAGGAGCTTCAATTAGCTGAGAACCTAAAACATTCCATTCTGCCCAAGTTTATTTCAGGCAGTGGGAAACAGTTTGATGATTTCTACAATAAGGTTCTGGAAGTGATTGATGATGTTAGAAGCTGCTACGTTGAAGGTTCCACCAGTGACTACAATGACCAGGAATTTGCCGAAATGATGCTTCTTGACAGTTGTTTTCTTCTATACTACATAGAATGCATGTCAAATCGACGATTGGAAATTTGGGAATTTGTGCATCATATGGGCATGTTTGCCGCGAAGTATATATTGTCAGACTTGTTTTTGCTTGAGAACCAACTCCCACTGCAATTACTCGAGGCTTTGATGAGCGAAAGATTCAAAGAAGATGAGAGGGGAGGAATGATAGAAAATTTCTTTGCAGTAATGTTTGCAAAAGCCCCACCCCCACGAAGTAAGCATAGCATTTCACGGAGGGAAGATGAAAAGCAGCCTCTTCATCTTCTTGAAGCTCTGCGCACAATTCTCCTCTCCAACTACGATGAAGATAAGCAAAGGATTCAATCTTCTTTGTTCCCAAGTGGAAGAAAGGAACTTCCTATTTGTGATGTGAAGGAGTATATTCGGTCATCTATTCGACCTGTCACAGAACTCCAAGCAAAAGGAATTCAATTTAAGCGTAGCAATAGTGTAAGTTTGAAGGACATCAAGTTCAATTCGAAATGCTTTTATGGACAGCTTAGTCTCCCTCCTCGGATCATTAATGCTCAGACCAAGACTATTTATTCGAACCTGATTGCTTATGAAATGTGCCCGAGTACTCCTAATGATTGTGGGATAACTTCATACATTAGTTTCATGAAATCACTCATTTGTCAACCTGAGGACGTGAGAGAGTTAAGGTCAAAGAACATTCTTATCAATTGCCTGGGTAATGATGAAGAGGTGGTTAAAATGTTCAAAGATATCATCACTTACGATCTGCAGAAGTTTGGCATCTATGACCAGGTTAGGAAGGACATTCAGAACCACTACAACAACAAGATGAAGACATGGATGGCTGAATTGATTCACAAATATTTTAGTAGCCCATGGACTGTGGTTGCTTTCTTCGCAGCGACTTCTCTTCTGATCTTGAGTTTCCTGCAGTCCTACTTCACAATCTCCCCAACTCACCATTGAATCAAGTACCAGATACATCGGATCAGTAAGTTAAGTATAGTGATTTGGACTGTGACTTTGTGCGCTTGAGGTAAAATTCTCTACTTTTAGTTTTAAGTTCTCAACTTGTCATCGTTCACAATTATCATATATATGCTTAGATTATTTGTGTAACATTTTACCCATGGTTGTAATATAAACGCGAAAACATGATGTATTATTCTAATCTTTTATTCGAATTTGACACAACACGTGAAAACTTTTGTTTTTCTTTTTTACGTAGATCGGTATGTATAGTCATAAAGGGTTGTTAAGTTATGAAGTAAGAAAGAATTGTTTAGAAACAAATATTGTTATTTTTCTGGTTAATTAATCAAATTCTGATTCATATCCCTTTTCTTAACTAATCACTGCCCTTCTATGTAACATTGGTAGAAAAACAACAAAAATGGTGGCTGATATATATTTTATTAATTAGTTCATTCAGACAAATGAACTTCATTTCATTAAATTTTGGATGATAAAGCTGAAATAAATAAATATTGTGTTGAATAAATATAAATATAAATTCAAATTGATCAGTAATTAGTTCCTTTGCCATCATCAGATTGATTGCCGGTATCGGGTTCATCACACATGGGTGTTGTGTAGTAGAATGGGCCGAGCACATGTTTGATCATATCTCGGTACACCATGGTGGGTCGGCCGAGCTTCACCCCTCTCCGGCCACCGGAAAAATCAGTGGCAATGTTGCAGACCGGGTCGGGTGATGAAACCAGCCTTAGAAAACTGTTTGTGGGTTTGAGCTCTTTCCCATTGATGTACCTGTTTATGATCATCTAAAAATTACCACCCTCATCAATGTCGTCACTTCCATAGTACACAACTCTAATTACAATTTGTCAGATTATTACATTTTTAAGGTCCTAGGTTTGAATGTAGTGAATCTCAATAAATCATCAAAATGTTATGATTAATCATGAAAAATACAAATTTTAAAAGTCAAGTTACGTTTTTGAACTTAAAGTCAGGATTAATCGATGTTATTTATGATCGATCATAAAATTGTAATTGTAACTTGATCTTTAATACTGTTGTTTTTTTGCTACTATAATCTTTTCTTTTGATATTTAACGAAAGCATGCAACACTTTTAGGGGTTTAAAGGTGTTGGTATCATTTTTGTGTTATGTTAGATTGTATCATTTTCAAATTCCTATGATGTTCATACTCATGTATACCGTGAAATAGAAATCACAAGAATAATATACCAAATTGTCTCTTAATCAAGTCCATCAAACATGAATCTTCTGTGAATTAAAAATCTACTTAGCGAAATTATACTAACTCGATTCTATTAAATATTCGTGTCATTTTTAATTTATGTTGTGTCTTATTGATGTGACCCGATAAAATTGAGACTCAGCTCAAGCGAGATGGCAGCCTGGGAGAATATTGTTATCATTAATTGTCTCAACATGTGGCTTTACTTTAGATTTTATTAAATTTCAATGATTATTTGTATATTTTTAGTTGCCACCACATGCCAACTACATGCAGCTCCCTCTCGAACTGTTAAAAGTCCTGTGTTATGATTCTTGACGACGCACAACATGAGTTTACGTAAAATCAATTAAAAGTATGATAATGTGTTTGATGGTGTTTATGCTAGGGATGCTTAATAGACTAAAAGACACATATTAAGTGATTCGACCTGAGTGACATTACGGAGATCCTTGATTGATGCGTCACCCTCATGATGGGGAGCAGGGTGCTTTCGTGATGCCGACACACCAAGTGAGGTGGTTGAAGTTGGCGATGCATTCTCCGATGATTGCACTCCATGATTCTCTTTTTAAGATGGAGATCTCCACATGCACTAGTGATAGATAGGGTCTCTCAAGAGGATGGGCCTGCATCTTTGATCCTAGTCTGGTTTGGATGGACCTCATCTCGGATCTGAACCAGGGGTGGCTTGATATGTTTTGGGGCCTAAAGCGATCAAATTCAATTAAGATATAAAATTTTTTTTTTAATAAAAGTGTAATTTTTTTAATATTTATTTTTTTTCTGGATGCATATTAATTGTTTAGTATTTGTATTGAAGTTTTTCTAACATATCTTTTTTTATTGATAGTATAACTAATTAACTTAATTTTTAAATTAAATAAAAAATTCTAAAACTTTCAAATTCAAAGATCATTTGACAGATTATGTTATCTCGTCATTAACACTCTTATAAAATTATTTTTTGAATATATGTTTGATTAAGTTTTTTTAGATTATGATAAAAATGACAATATTACATAAACTTTATTTAGTGAACTTATTTGACTATCTTATCATTTTATGTCATTAGATTGATAGTGAATTCTACTATTAATTGGGATCCACTATCAATTCCACACCTCTGATCTATCATGTCACCAAATAAGATCACTAAATTAGGTACGAAATTTTTTTTTCTTGTAAAATGTTATTGTGTGAGATTATTCAATCTAGAGTTTTTTTGTTGATTTAGGCCTTTATATGGGGCTTTCTTATAAGGCTAATTTTAATAGACTAAAATTAACTTGAGCTATATTTGTAGACTTTTTAAATTGTGGACCTTCTTTATTGGTGGGGCCTAAAGCCACCACTTCTTTACCTCCTCTGTTGGGCCGACCTTGATCTAAACTGAACCAACAACTGTGATCTTGGATTGGTTTAAGCCAATCCTATCATTTATGATCTGGGTTGGACCCATCAATTCTTATGATCATGGAATATAGTATTGGACTACAAAAAAAGAAAAGTGTCCATTTTGATACCATTAAATGAATGTTAAGTCTAGACTACTTTGAAAAGGAAGCATGTTTGTATTATATAGAATTGCGGATATTTTGGTAATGCCATATGGTCTGCGATTGAAACTTTGATTTAACCTTTTGTAAGCGGAAATTGAACTTCACTATCGGTGGGGAGAACGAGCGCACAGGGAAGGCCAAAAGGTTGATGGGTGGTAAGCCAAACTATTGTTGGAGTCTTCCTATTCACATTGTAACTAGGCGGATTCAAATCAAATTTGGGTCTATTAGAAAAATATTAGTCCATATTTGAATTTGTTTATGCAGTCTAACAGTATGAAGTTTACCATGATGGTAGAACTTTTCGGTGTTGTCCCTCTTGTGACTGACATGGTGATGGAACCCAAACGATAAGCCATCTCACCCGAAAATCCAATGAGGGGCGTTCTAATGGGTTGCAGTCTTTCCCTGCCTAGATGAAGGCTGTCATAGGTTAGTGCGAATAGGATGTCAACAGAGTTGTCGTTGTCCCCCAAAATTCTCTTAACCTAATAGTTAACTACCATCATGGTTAAGACTAGAGGGTCATCATGGGAGAATTGGATCCCATCGAGGTCCCTATTTGAGAACAAGATGACTTCTTCTTCCTCGTGCCGAGGCGTTTTCATCGGGTAAGGTCCATGTCTGCATCTTCTTGACGGAATTGGAGTCACCTCCTCCCCTTAACCCTTCAGAGATCATCTGGATCTCTCCGAGGTGTTGTTGATGCTCTCTGTCATCTTGGTTTCTGTTAGGCGACAGGGCTTATCCTTTGTCAGCAATGTACTGCCGCAACTGGTCACGCTGTATGAACTCCTTGATTTGTCTTTTAAAATCAAAGTAGTCATCAATATTGTGGTCGTGGTCGTGGTAGAAGCGACAATACTTGTTCGAATTGCTACAGTTGGGGGTGATCTTTATCTTCTCTGGCTAGTGTATTGTATGATCATCCTGTATTTGGAACAGGATATGCTCCATCGAAGTATTGAGTGACTTAAAATCTTGCCGCTCTCTCGAAGGTGGGGGACCAAGGCGGCCTTGGACAGATACTCTCTTTATCTTATTCCTTTTGTCCTCTGCTTCTCTACACTTGAAAAAATCAAATCTACACTTGAAAAAATCAAACTTACCCTTGAAAAAATCAACCTGAATGTAGGAACCTAAGCCCAACCCAATTTTTAACCCAAACTAAATTTAAGTCCACCCGAATTAAACTTAGGCAGTACTCGAGTTGAGTACCTCGAATTGAGGTAGGATTAGAGTTAAAGATTATATACCTAGAATTAGATTAGAGATGAACCTCTCAACCTGCCCAACACGCTAGAGTTGCACCCCTAGTTAGGATCGTTTAAGATTTGGTTTATCCGCCTGGTCGGGGTCTTCACCTATTCTTAATTAGTTTTGATTGATACTCTAACACTTGTAGTCAGAGTTGATAATTGAACTGAGTTACTCGAGCTCCGTCTTTTTTGGGCTCATTTAGGTTCGGTTTAACTCGTTTATACGTAAAATACTCGGGCCAACTCGAATTTGGCTCATTTAAATTGATTTTTTAAATTGAGTCAAACTTGAACAATTTTTTAGACTCATTTACCAAAAAAAAAAACTAACTTGACAAATTCAACTCGAGTTTGTTCGGGCCCATTAGTGAGTGAAAAGCTTAAGCCAGTTGATCAGGCTTTCAAATTATCCGAATTGTGTTGGAGTTGACTCATGTTTGCCTCCATTTTGACTCGTTCAAATTATATCATGACTTGTCTCTAATCAGAAATTTTAGTTTTTGTAAACAAGCCGAGCAACATGTGATTTGGCTAGAATAAGATTGGTTCTGCCCGAATAAATTTATGTATGCCAATTATATTAAGTTGAACTATCAAGTCATACTCGTTAATTTTTGAAATTGTCAAGAAATTTGATATGTACACAAGGGATTTAGAAAATAAAAAAAAATAGAATATGTGAGAAAGAGACCCGCCTCGAGGGATGGAAATCTCTGTTGGTTCACTTGAAAGGAGCTTGACCTCCCAAACTTTCACAAGAAAATTTATCATAAATATTCATTGCATGTTTCATTCATCTAATGCCTTTAAATACAAAAAAAAAAAAACACCTAAAAGATAGCTACTAAATCCATATCAACTCTACTACTTAGATAACTACTTAAAAAACCTATTAAAACTATACCACTAAGCTAATCTCTAAATAAACTTTAAGAAATCCTATGTAATTCAAATCTGCAATTCAAATTTGTATCTCAAATGAGGGGGATCATTGGATCAGTAAGTCCTATTTAAAAAAATTGGTGAGACTCACTCATCCAATGATCTTCATTCATTTGAGATGCAAATTTAAATTACAAATTTGAATAACATAGTATTTCCCATAAAATTTTAATGAAAAATAGCTAAAAACAAACAACCAAATCTCAACAAGTTGACTCACAACTCCTATTTTAATTCAACTACTAACTCTTTGACCAATTCAAACTCTTATTACTAACTAGAAAAATATAAAAGAATTTGTGCATGAGAAAATTAAATTAAATTTCACTTTTTCTGAGTTAAACTCAAAATATTTCGAGAACATACATTTTTTCAAAGGAATTTGTACCGGATGTCTGAAGCTACGAGTACAGTTGTAGTAATAAGGGGTGGATTAAGGTATCATAGCGGACTAAAACTTTTTAATCCAACATTCTATTGCATTCGATTACCAAAAATGTTTCATATTGTGTACATGCCTATTTCGTATATATACTAGCGATACTCCATGACTGAAGTCACTGAATATTAAACTATGACACTAAGCGTGTATTAGAGAGTGTGTGTACAGCTGGAGTGTATATATAATGTGTGAGTGTGTATTTGAGTATGTGTAACTATGTGTTGTGGAATATTTGTGTTGAGTTTGTGAAATTTGGGAGGGAAAGTATGTGATGGGTGTGTGAAATTTGGGAGAAAAAATATACTCTCCATAAGTTCAAACATCTAGCTATCTTATTATATAGATATATGAGACATATATAATTATAATAA